CTAAATTAAACCCTTCCATAATACTCATATAATATTTTCTCTGTTTAATATCCTTCTGGCAGGTGCTTTCCTCTTCTGCTGGACACCTTTTTTTGTGGTCCACATTACAAGGGCTCTCTGCAAGTCCTGCATCATTCCTACTCAAGTCACCAGCATTGTCACTTGGCTGGGTTATGTCAACAGTGCTGTCAACCCCATCATTTATACAGTTTTCAATGCGGAATTCAGGAACTTCTTCCGCAAAGTCTTGCACCTCTTTTGCTGAGTCTACTGGAACTACCGAGTCTACTGGAGGAGAGAAGGAAAGACCTGGATATTTTTTGTATAGTTCATTAAAGATATATTTCTGCCTAACGTTTGCTGTTGTTGTTGGGGTGGAGGGAAGGAGAGAGAAGGCAGCTAAAGGATAGCGGTTCCCAGCTCGGTCTCTGCTACAAAGAGTTGAAGGTGAGTAGCAGCGGAGAGAGCTCAAATACTCCACCCATTGGATACCGCTCACGTGGTCAAGTTTTTCAACACTTGGTACTTGACTTAAGTAGCAAGAGATGCCACAAGAAAGCATGGATGGTTCTCAAAAGAGCTCTTGCTTTGGATTTCTCTGTTTCTTCTGGTTTGGGCTCCTCTTAGCAGGTCACTCAGCAACACAGGCACCATCTCACGTGCCACCATAGCAGAAGAGTTTTGAAACATGCACCCTCCCTGACCCTGAGAGCAACAGATCCGTTCAGTGCTCTCAGCTCCTGCAGGGGGCAGATCCAACCACCTGATGTCTCAAAATGGGTTATTGAGGAAGGCCTATGCACAACCCTCACTTACTACAGTCCACTCTGGCAAGGCCTCTCTCCCTGCATTCCAGAGCATTTCAGCTGTGACGAAAATCCATGTTTGTGCCCTCTGGGCAATTTCAAGCCCTGCTGGAAGTGTGCTAGGAGACATGCAGTGTCTCCCGGAGCTGCCTCTTTTCTCCCTGATAAAGAGATGGAGGGAGTCTTAAAAGGTAGACTCCCAGGTAGTGGATTTTTCCCCCTCTGCAAGTTCATTTTAGGTCAAAACTGGCCTTGGTCAGAGTTTCAGTAACTTTTAGCTTAACACAGGTGTTTGAGAAGGGTAATAGGCTGTTCCCCTCAGTTACTCACAAGCTCTGGCAACTCCGGAGCGCTGCCCAATATGCTGGTGCCTTGAGCTGTTGCTGAGCTTGCCATGGCCTGGGGTGCTGTGGAGGCTCTAAACAGGGCTTGTGAGGTGCCTGCTCAAGCACTCTCCATGGACAGAGCACTAGGGAGAAAACAACAACCAAAAACAAACACCCTCACAAAAATTAAACTGTTTTTCCGTATCATCTCATTCTGAGTGAGTGTATATCTACCTACATGTCCTTTCCCCTTTATTTTTCTAAATCCAATTTTACTTGTGTTTGAAAAGGGACATTAAGGGCCTCCAAAAATAAAATCAAGATAAGTAATGACCAGATAAAAATCAGAGAGCCCCCCTCCCCTCCATGCTGGTGCCCCCTGTGAAGAAGGGGCAGCAGAGGAGCTCAGCCATGGGCGATACCACCTTTCCTAGGGACAGAGAAGAACAGTCTTTCCAAGCACATTAGTGACAATACCAGAACCACAAAGGTTCCAGAAAGACCACCTCAGAACCAGGAGCATTTATGCCTCTCAGCACACTGCAAAATGTGTCTAATTAAGACACCCAGAGCTCCTAAACTCTCATTTCAAGCTCAGAGCTCTTGCCTTGCTAATTGTCACGGTTTCCCTGCTTGGGAATGGTGATAGCACTCAAGGCTGCGCTACCTGCAGTCCTAACAAGGGTCAGATTTCAGAACACACAGAGCTACCTATTAATAGCTTTAGATACATCCCCTCTCTCCCCAGAATGCACAATTGTGTTATTGCTAGGCCTCCCAAGTTACCTATCAAACTGAACGATACATGCCAGAAACTAGTCCTAGCTTGTTGAAAATCCTTTCTCCTTTTGTCTCTTTTTGGGTAAACCTGAGTGTAGTGACACTAAGGGCAGCCCCAGGGAGGGTTTAATGCTTTCCTCCAAAGACTCAGGAGAGAAGAGGATCGTTACTGCACAAAACAACCATCTTTGACTGTGGATTTTTGGAGTTCGTTGATATCCTTCCACTGGGCAACTTGTTTTCTTGGAAACACAAAAATTCTGCAGGGAGTTCTTTTCTTTGACTGAGGATAGCAGTTGCTCAATCAATTTATTATCTACAAATGAACACGGTCAATTCCCATGGTGATTATATTGAAAGTCTTCAAGTTCCATGTTTTCACTCCTTGCACTGGGAACAGCTGCAAGGACATCAAGGCTCTCTGATGGTCAATAAAGTTTCAAAACCAGCAGTTAAGTTTCTTTCTAACCCATATTTCAAATCATTCTCATTATACAAACATGAGCCTTGGTAAGTCTGGATTCAGCGTCATATCCCAGCTCACTTGTTTATGTAGTTATAATGGTCCTTGAATCAACACGAAGTCCTACTTCCCAAAGCAGCACGACAGTATAAGGGCATTTCTTTTTGGAGAACACAGACCAAAGGGCTGCACTAATAAAAGTCACTATTTTCCAACTGAAAGTGGAGTTTAGCATGAAAAGTAAAGCTTTAACACTCCAGAGGTGCTAATTTGAAGCAGTTTTCCCTGTATTCTAGTGCGAGATGCTGCTATGTTGCCTTGATTTATTTTGGGACTACATCAAACCACAGATTCACTAGCTTGCAACTTCACAGCATTTTCTTGAGAAAAGCACCTCTACTCAGAAACCCACAGAACTTGGGCTGAATTGAAGAAGTTTTCCTTCTTCAATTCATTTTTCATTCAACAAACCCAAAGGACATGATTTGTTACCCTTCCTGTTTAATACGAGCTCGGCCAACGACAGGCCAGTTGCATGACCAGCTTGCTAACCTTGGGTTTAAAGGTGGATACATAGGGCTCAACTGTAGTGCACCTATGCAAAGAGCTGTTCTCTTACTCAAAGATGCTGTTGAAGCAGGTTGCTGTGACAAACTTGGCTTTTTATCCAAATAGCAGCATGAGGCATTTGACTTATTGCAGGATTTCATTTAGTCGTAAGCAAAACTTTAATGGGTATGAGATGGAGGCAAGGCAACCTGCAGGTTGCAGTTGTGTCACTAGGGGTTTGACTGAGACCATCTTTTCAAATATAATAATAATTTTCTTTAAGATTTAGGGAACAGGCAATCATAATATAACAATGTAAGAAGAAACTAGTAGAAATACTGAAGAAACGCTTTTGGGAAGCCAGAGTTTTTCCAGGAGTTTTACACATGTATTTTTTGTATACGCTGCCTTAGTTTGTGCCTGGCTTTCCATGAAGGAAGGATTCAAAACCATTAATCAACTGCCACCAACCTGTGCTGGACATCAGTAGTCATCTCTCTGTGAAGAGGTCCCATCTGGTGCTTCTCAGGAGCTGGAGCAGCAGGCAAAAAAGAAAACCCTACTGAGTGGTCCTCCTAAAGAGACATCTCAGTGGTACAGGAGACTGGCAGAAGAGATAATAAACTAGTTTCCACCTCCTTGTAACAATCAAAAAAAAAAGTTTCATAGGGGAGGGAATGGATTTATTAGAAACCTGTAGTTTAAGATTAAAGATTCTCCAATTTTTTTTATCCTCTTCATTATTACTTTCCTGGGTGAACGCTGGGTGAAAATTTTGCCCTTTTCATAACATTCATGATTCTGGATTGGGTCACTCTGCGATTCAAAGGTGGCACCTCTTATAGTGTAAGAGGAATAACAATCCTCCTTCTTCAACAATATGAAATTAGAATGAATAATCAGACATGATATATACACCATGCTCAGTTGTTATGGCTAAGACTGAAAAAAGAACCAAGGTAGAGATGTGGATGCTTACAAGAATCCTCAACTTTGATGCATTCATCTTAAAAAAATAAATGAAAGAGCTTTATTAGTCTAAATTATTAAAGGAATACCTTAAAGAACTTTGTTGCCTGAACTACTGCAATGAATGAAGCACATAACTTCCCAGTGCTCATCACTTCTCTAATTAGCTGCTACTAAATAGCAATGATATGGTAACATCTGTATATTCTGACTTTGGGTTTGATCAGATCTCACTTTGGCTAGATGGCTGCTACAAGGTGGCAGCTATGGCAGG